CGCTTGCTTTTAAACCATGTGTAATATTTACAAAGGTCCCCTGTGTGCCCTCAGGGTCTGGGAGCATGCCTTGGGTGAGTTCGGGGGTTACTGGCTTCAGGTCCAGGGTGATAAACATATCCTGGCTGTTGGGAAAACCGGTTTCTCCGCTTCCTTGCTGCTGTGAGCTATCTACATTATCTTTATCCTCCTCTTCCTCGTACCCCGTACCCCGAACCCCGAACCCTCTTCCCTGTGTGTCCTCTCAGCTAGTTTCCACATGAGCAGTACTGTTTTGTAAGTCCTCTGTTAGTAGTGGGGAGTCTGTTAGTGAAGCTGAAGGTTTAACCCCGGCCACCCTGAATCAGCACAAAAATCTGGCACCTTGGGGATTAGCACCTTGGCATCTCTAAAATCTCCTGAAGGCTTCAGATCTCACTTACTTTAGATTTTGGCTGCCGAAAGGTGGAGGGAGCAAAGTTAATTTGCAGTTCCTAGGTGTGGCAAGGAAAGAAATTCTTCATTTAACTGCCACATCAGCTCTAATTATGGTCTTGGCTTTGGGTGGTTTGTTAATTCAGTATTATTACAATTCCTCCACAAAGGTCTTTGATAACTTTGAGTTAAGAGCATTAGGCTCTATATCCCACTGCTGCAATCTGTAACTAACAAGACAATAAGCAATTACATAATTCAGCATCTGTATAATTATTGGTTCCCCTTCTCAGCCTCACCTCCTTCTGCAGAACACACAAATGGGGGTTAGATGCTGCAGGGCCTGGAGCTGAGGATGAGGAGTTTGACTTTGCCCATAAAGCTTCAGGATAGGCAGGAGATGGATTATCAGATCATTACTACAGAGGCCTGAAATGGGCGGGGGCTGTCGTGCGGGGATACAAACACCACAGTATCAGGCTGATTAGTCTCAGTACTTAGTCCTGCCTCAGTGCAGGGGAATGGACTAGATGATCTATTGAGGTTCCTTCCAGTCTACACTTCTATGATTCTGTGCCGCTACACTAGCCCAAAAGGCAGGTCCTAGAGGTGACACCTTTCCCTTGCTGTGTGGCTTTGATGCTCACTCACTCACCAGCTCTGCAGAGTTGGTCCTTCTGTACTTGCTAAGAGACTTCTTTCTTTCTTTCTTTCTTTCTTTCTTTCAGATTGATGTCCATATCATGTTCGAAGGTGACAAGGTTTTCCAGGCAAAGCTGGATCTCTGGGGGGTAAGATTTCTGTTTATCTTGGTTCCCTTATTCCAGCAAGCTGTGGATGGAAAGGGACTGGAAGCTGGGCTCAGGTGCCAAGATGTAAATTAACAGATCCCAAGGCCAGAAGGGACTGTTGTGATCATCTAGTTCAGTGGCTCTCAAACTTTTGTACTGGTGACCCCTTTCAAATAGCAAGCCACTGAGTGTGGCCCCCCCTTATAAATTAAATACTTTTTTATATATTTAACACCATTATAAATGCTGGAGGCAAAGAGGGGTTTAGGGTGGAGGCTGGCAGCTCATGACCCCCCATGTAATAACCTCGCGACCCCCTGAGGGGTCTCAACCCCCAGTTTGAGAACCCCTGATCTAGTTTGACCTCCTGTGTAACACAGGCCATAGAACTGCCACAAGATAATTCCTAGAGCAGCGCTTTTAGAAAAACATCCAATCTTGATTTAAACGTAGCCTGTGATGGAGAAGCCACCATGATCCTTGCCATGACTCCATGCACCTGAAGAAGTGAGGTTTTTTACCCACGAAAGCTGATGACCAAATAAATCTGTTAGTCTTTAAGGTGCCACCAGACTCCTTGTTGTTTTCATGATCCTTGGTAAATTGTTCCAACTGTTAATTGCCTTCACTGTTAAAAATTCACACCTTACTTACAGTCTGAATGAATCTCGCTGCAACTTGCAGCCCTGGGAGCCTGTCAGACCTTTGTCTGCTGGACTGATGAGCTCATTAACAAATATGTGGATGCTTATGTAACTCACACACCTCCTGGGTGTGGTGTTCTGTCCTGTCTAGTAGCCTCAAGACCACTTAGGCCTTGGCTACACTTGCAGATGTACAGCGCTGTGAGTTAAACCTGACTTTGTGCAGCTGAGTAGGGAAAGCGCTGCAGTCTGTCCACACTGACAGCTGCCCAGCGCACTGTTGTGGGCACATTTGTGGCAATTGCAGCGCTATTGGGAGCGGTGCATTATGGGCAGCTATCCCACAGAGCACCTTTTCCCATTCTGGCGCCGTGGGTTGTGGGAAGAGGGCGTGGGTGCGGGGCATTCTGGGTCCTGTCCCAACGCCCCGTGATGCATCGCTTCGCATCCCAGAAATCCCTTTGTTTCCGTTCACCTTTGGTACCATCTTTCAACGGTTTCTGCGCAGTGCGATCTGTCTGTGGGAAATGGAGCCCGAACTGCTGAGGTGTATGCTGACTTATCTCGCCAGCATGTCACGTTTGGTTGTCGAACTATTCCTTAAGATCCAAAGTGACAGTGAGAGTGAGGAGTCCGACGATTCTATCGAGCCGCGTAACGCGTATGACACGAAATTGCTTGTGGCATTGACGGACATGCTCAGCACCGTGGAATGCCGCTTTTGGGCTCGGGAAACAAGCACCGAGTGGTGGGATCACATCGTCATGGAAGTCTGGGATGACGAGCAGTGGCTGCAGAACTTTCGGATGAGAAAAGCCACTTTCATGGGACTGTGTGAGGAGCTTGCCCCCACCCTGCGGCGCAAGGACACGAGATTGAGAGCTGCCCTGCCAGTGGAGAAGCAGGTGGCTATTGCAATGTGGAAGCTGGCAACTCCAGACAGCTACCGGTCAGTCACAAACCAGTTTGGAGTGGGAAAGTCGACCATTGGAATCGTGTTGATGCAAGTTTGCAAGGCCATTAATTGCATCCTACTCAGAAGAACCGTGACTCTGGGTAACGTGCAGGAAATAGTGAATGGCTTTGCACAAATGGGGTTCCCTAACTGTGGAGGGGCGATAGATAGGATGCACATTCCTATTCTGGCACCACCCCACCTAGGATCCAAGTACGTTAATCGGAAGGGGTATTTCTCTATGGTTCTCCAGGCGCTTGTGGATCACTGTGGGCGTTTCATTGACATTAACACAGGCTGGCCTGGAAAGGTGCATGACGCACGCATCTTTCGGAACACTTGGCTGTTCAGGAAGATGCAGGCCGGGACTTTTTTCCCAGAGCGGAAGATCACGGTAGGGGAAGTTGAAATGCCTATTGTGATCCTTGGAGATCCCACTTACCTGTTAATGCTGTGGCTCATGAAACCCTACACAGGGAGCCTTGACGGCAGCAAGGAACGGTTCAACTACAGGCTGAGCCGGTGCCGAATGACTGTGGAGTGTGCCTTTGGCCGTTTAAAGGGCCGCTGGAAATCTCTGTATGGGAAGCTGGACTTGGCCGAAAACAGCATCCCTGCGGTTATATCCGCGTGCTGTGCCCTCCATAATATTTGTGAAGGGAAGGGTGAAAGCTTCACTCAGGCCTGGACCTCTGAGGTTCAACACCTGGAGGCTGAATTTGCACAGCCAGAGAGCAGGGCTATTACAGGGGTCCAGCGCAGGGCTGCAAGGATTAGGGATGCCTTGAGGGAGCAATTTGAGGCTGAAAACCAGCAGTGATATCTGGTGCCCTGCATGGGAGTGAAGTGCAGTAGTTCCAATTTTTAGGAATCAGTGTCTGCTAAGCAGACAAGCAGACTTGCAGTGCCTGTTTATTTCCTGGGCTAAGGAGTCTTTTACTTTATGCAATAATAAAGAATGTTTTCAAAGCCAAAGAATCCATTTATTGAAAAGAAAAAAAATTATTTATTGAAAAGAAACAAGGGGGTAGAGTGGGGAACAGTGCAATCACAGATTCGCGTATGTCCTGTCTGGTGTGCTGTGCAGTGAGTGCTGCACTTCAGGGCAGCTACACTGCATGGTGATGGGGGTTGAGTGCAGAGGCTAAGGGTTGTGGTTTTCAGGGCTGGGTGGTGAAGATACTGGGGTGCAGGTGGGTGGGAGCGAGGGGTTTAGGGGATGGGAGGGGGATCAGGGCTGAGGCAGAGGGTTGGGGCACTGGAGGGGGGTCAGGGGTGCAGGCTCCGGGCAGCATTTACTTCAAGCAGCTCCCAGAAGCAGTAGCATGTCCCCCTCTGGCTCCTACACAGAGGCGTGGCCAGGCGGCTCTGCGCACAGCCCCGTCCGCAGGCGCCGCTCCTGGGGCTCCCTTTGGCCACGGTTGCTGGCCAATGGAAGCTGCGAGGGCAGCGCTTGAGGCGGGGGAAGCATGCAGAGACCCCTGGCTGCTCCTATGCTTAGGAGTTGGAGAGGGGACATGCTGCTGCTTCTGGGAGCCATGGGAAGCCATAGCACACATGGAGTGGGATAAGCCCCAGAGCCTGCTCACCGGCAGGGGCTCAAAGGCCAGATTAAAACGTCTGAAGGGCCGGATGCAGCCCCCGGACCATAGTTTGTCCACCCCTGATGTAGAGGAAGGAATAATACTTTCATTCCCTTGGAGCATTTCCTATCCCTACCCTTCACTCCATCCTCCTGTAGCATCTCCTCCCTGACCTTTTTTGCCTGTAACTATAGTTCCTCTTGTTTTGCTGTACTTGTGGCACCTTAGAGACTAACAAATTTATTAGAGCATAAGCTTTCGTGGACTACAGCCCACTTCTTCGGATACTCTGAAACTTGTTTTGCTGTGTCTCTCCTCAGCTGTGTGCCACATTTCTGCACCACAGCATCCTGGGGCACCCAGGAGGGACTCCTATCTCTCTGCATGGCACCCTGGAGGCCCCTAATCCCTGTAAATGGAATCCAGTTGGTTCGGCACATCACTGCAATGCAGTCATTGCCCTCCCTGACTTTACCCAGGATCCCTCTCTTCTAGGAGCTGAGAAGAGCACTGGCTTTGCTGTAGTGAAGGCTCAAGTGTTCTGGGTAGTTTATCTCAGTTGCTACTTGTGCTTTCCATTCGCTCTCCCTTGGTAACCTTCCACCTTTTCCTGTGCGGATGACTTAAGGCTCATGGTGATCAGCCCCCCCTCCCCCCCCCCAATGGAGCATCAGAAAATCCTTGAGGAATATGATTGCTCTCTTTAAATATATCAGAGGGATAAATATAAGGGAGGGAGAGGAATTATTCCAGCTTAGTACTAATGTGGACACAAGAACGAATGGATATAAATTGGCCGTGGGGAAGTTCAGGCTTGAAATTAGACGAAGGTTTCTGACCGTCAGA